TTAATAAGCTAGAGATATTTATTACCGCTTAAGAGGTTAATACTTATATTTAAGAAGAGTAGAATTAAGCGAATAGAAATAATCTAAGCCTATATAGTACTACCGTGGTATAAATAAGTATTACTAATATGCGAGGCCGACTATAAGGCGGCGATAATAATAGCTAATAATACTAAAGATATTATTATCACGACTAATACCTCTAATAGAGAAGGGCTTATAGCTATAGGAGGCCTTATTTTATAAGAGTTAATTAATTAAGTTAATAGGATAATAGCTAGGTATTTCGTTACCCTTAGGTCGCGAGATAACTAGAATTTATATATAGCTAAATTAGAGGCAATAGCGATAGTATTATAATATATACCTAATAGACTATAATATTAAGAGCTTACTATAATATTAAGCTATTAGTTATTACTAAAAGTAATTATATAACCGCGATAATAATCTAGCTAGATTATTATCTGATAGATCTATAAATATATTAAATAACTAGCGAGAGGAAATAATAGGGTTAAGATAATCTAGGCTTTATTCTGAAATAATAGTTTTATTATAGGCTATAAGGCGAAGAGATAAGCTAAGAAAGCGACTAAAGTAAGATATACCCTAGAGTCGCTACTATATTAGGCTCGGTCGATATAAACTAGGCTAGCGATATTATAATTACGGCGGTAGTAGGTACTCTTTAATAAAGTAGGCAGCTATTCTAAGCGGATCGATTAAGCCTTACTAGGCGAATATATAAAAGCGCTATATAATAGCCTAAAGAGATAAAAAGCTAATATACTCTCGCAGCTCTGCATAGGAATAGCGAGGATTAATAGCTACCTATATAAGATAAGAACTACTAAATTAGATATATATAAGTATAGATAAGTACTAGAGATAATAGAATACTTTTTATTTTAATATATAAGATAAGAGATAGAGCATAAAATTATATAATAAGTTAGATAAAGTATAATAGGAAACCTTTCTTATTTTCTCAGTAGAAAGTTAATATTAGATAGACCGAAATAGATACTTAACCTAAAGGCGATATAAGCGGCGATAAAGTTTATAATAGTAATAAGAAGACTAAGGTAAAAAAGGGAAATAGAATATATTAAATACTAATATTATAGCTAACTATTAATATTAAATAGTCTTATATTAATAGACTATGCTTTAGCTACTAGGGATAAGATATTAAATACTTAGAGAAATCGGCCTTTAAGTAGGCCTATTAAGTAAAGTTAAGTAAGCGGGGCTAGAAAAGAGATAAGCTAATAAGAAGAGTGGGGCTCTCTTAGGTAGTCTAGATAAATAGCGGGGAAGCGAAGATAGCTTAGCATAGCTACTAGCCCTACAAGATCCATTCTCCCGGGCGTAATAAATACTAATACTAATACTAAATCCCATACCTCGCCCCATATAACCCCGGTCATAATAATAATATAAGCGAGGTATAGAAAGTTAATTTAAGGAAATAATTTTGGCTAAAATATTATATAAATTATTATAAAGTTATTAATAAATTCCCCGCTAATTCTAAAAGAGATATATATTATTAATGCCTATAATAATAGTAGCTTTATTAAAGAAAATCATAGTTACTATATATACCTAAATAACCCGACTTAGATAGCTATTTTTCTAGCTAAAATAAACCATAATATTAAATTTAAGCCTTTCCCTATAGAAATATATAACTTTTGTATTAATATATTACCCTTAATGCTATTATAGCTATTTTAGCTTTTTCTCCTTATTTCCCTTATTAAAAAATAGGTTTAATATACTAAGGTCTAGGTTATATAGCTTAAAGAAAATAGTATTATTAATAGCTAGAGGTACCTAATAAAGAAAATAATAAATCTAAGAAAATAGGAAAGAACCTTAGTTATAGAAATATATATATAGCTTAGAATACTAATTTATATAGGCATATATAAGGAAAGAATAATTAAGAGCTACTAGAGTACCCCCTAGCTAGGTATTTAATACCCTAAGTACTTAATTATTAAGTTTATGCTATATTAGAAGTTTTAGCTTATCTACCGGCACCTTTATCCCTTTAACTATAGTAAGATTAATAAGATTATACCTCTTCCGAAGGTATTCTAAGCTACTAATAAGTAGTCTAATTATATATAAGCTATATCCATAGAGATCTTCCTTCTAGGCTCTCATTTGGCTATAGATAAGTATATAATCTGCTATACTAGTAGATTGAAGGAGATAACCCTTATTAAGGGCAAGCTAGACCCCCTAGGGTTTAAGATATAGGTTATCGCCTAATAGGGCTTCTTTATCCGGTGGCTATAGCATATTAAGGAAGCAAAATATGGCGCCGTTAGCGTTGAATTGCCCCCACCGAAGTCATCTATATAAGGCCGGGGAGGGCGAAGAGGCGGTCGAGGCAGGGGTGCAGCCAAGGCCGCAGGGAAGAAGCCTGCCACAGAAGACAAGCCTATCGCCTTAAACTCGACCCAGAGCGTCGTTATTGCCCTAGCAAATATGCTGCCAAAAGCGACATATCACGTCTTTGTGGATAACCTCTTCTCGTCGTCAGATCTCTTCCGCAGCCTTCACAAGCATGGCCACGGGGCCACAGGCACGGCGCTCAACTTACGACGGACGGGAACAACAAGTATTGGCTGTGCAAGTATTGCCATATTAGTGGCCGTCACGATGCTGCGCTGTTTGCCAGTGAGAACACGACCAGCATCATTTACCACCTTAAACAGCAGCACAGACTAGAAGAATTTGGTTACAAAGCAACAGGATCCGATCCTTTCAGCATAGCTAAGAGGACAGCAAGCCTCACGCCATACCTCGGAAGCCGGCGCGTGGTGTTCGACGACCTGAAATTCAAGGACGATTTTACTGATTGGGTGATTGACCTTGACCTCACATTTCGTCAAGCGACTCATCAGCGCACGAATGAGATTTTTACCAATTATCTCGAAGACATTGACAAGATCCTTCCCAAAAGCCCGTCAACTCTTAGCAGTTGGGTCAAAGAGAAGTGGCTTGGCGATAGTGGGAGACGCGTTTGGCTGAGGGCAAAGCTCCATTCCGCCAAAAGCAAGGTCCATATCTCGGTGGATGCATGGACATCTGAAGAAGGGACAAACTATCTTGCCATTGTTGCTCACTTTTTGGATGTAAAGCATACGTTGCAAACCGCTCTTCTGGACCTCCCCCCTCTGAAGGGGCCTCATTCTGGCGAGAACATTGCCAAGGTGTTGTCATCCACCCTCGATTTCTACGATATCTCACCACTGATGGGCTTCTTCATGATGGACAACGCTAGAAGCAACGACGTATGCATTCTGGAGCTAGCAGAGCAGTACCCGACAATTAGATGCGAAAATCGCCTTCGGTGCGTCGGCCATATGCTGAACCTCATCGTCAAAGCTCTACTATTTGGACAAGGCGTTAGCAAGCTGGAGCAACAGCTCCGCGGCGCATCCGATGACGAGCGGTTTGAGATATGGAGGAAGCAAAGCTTCATCGGCAAGCTCCACAACTTCTGCGTGTGGATCAACAGAAGCGACCAGCGACGGGAGCGGCTGAAACAGTACATCTTGCAGGCTTACGAAGAAGGCAGCATTGAACAGCTTTATACTAGAGTCCTGGTCGATGGCGGCATCCGCTGGAACTCTGTATATGCCATGATTGAAAGAGCCCTGAAACTTCGCCACGCAATCGATCTCTTCTTTCTCCATTATAGCCATGTCAGTGAGGGATATGATATCTCGGGCGATATCCTGACTCCACAGGATTGGGTCGATCTGGGCCACTTCCATGCTATCCTCAAGCCTTTCAAAGATCTAACAAAACGCATGGAAGGACGGGCAAACAAAGTTGGCCGAGAAGGATCACATGGCTCACTCCACGAGACCATCGAGTCGCTGGATGTACTCTTCAAGAAGCTCCAAGAGGCTGGGAGATTCGCAGATGATCATCCTGACGTGGTGTCAACATACTATTCCCATGCTATTGATGCTGCTCGTGTCAAGCTTGAGGAATACTTTGGCCTCACAGATGCCAGTCCTGCATATCGATGCGCAGTTGCCTTGCATCCGGCCAACAAGTTCACCTACTTTGAGCTTGAATGGAGCCACAATAAGCAATGGATCAGCGGGGCAAAGAGAGTGGTGCAGGAGGTGTTTGCACAATACGAGGCAGAAGCGGAGGCGGACCTAATGGACGGAGCGCGACAGGAGCTGGAGCTGGAGGAGCTGGAGGAGCTAGAGGAGAAGGCTATGGTTCATGGCAATGCGACACTTGATCCACTCCAGCAAGCTCGTAAGCGTCGCCAGAGGCTTGCCGTCACTGCGATGTCAGCTATACGAGGAAAGAAGCGGGTGAAACGGACCACTGAGCTGGATGAGTTTATGGCGAGGACCAATAAGGCTGATCTGGATGTTGAGGATCCTCTGGAGTGGTGGGTTCGCCATGCATCTGACTACCCAATCCTGTCCAAGATGGCGTTTGACTTGTTCAGTTGCCCAGCTATGAGCGCTGAGTGTGAGCGTGTTTTCTCACAGGCAAAGAAGGTCATCACGGATGAACGGAACCGGCTCAGTTCGGACACACTGTGCGACCAACTTTCTGCGTTTCGTACCTCGCGCCAGACTGGTGGCCGTGTGCAGACAACCAATCATCCGAGAGTATGCAAGGGCATTCCTCAATCTTATCTGTTGTACCCGAGACCAAAACGCTGCCGCCGCTTAATGCGGCATCCACCACAGATTAAATTTTTATGATTCGGAGTAATACGGCCCTTTTTTTTTTGTACTATCGAGGACGTTGAATGTGGAACGTAACCCTACGTAGACGACCCCAGATTCCTGGAATAAGAACGTGGGCATGATAGTGGCATGTACGGCCAATGTGCCAATGTTATCATGTTGAGACCGCTCTGCATCTAATAAACCCCTAAACCCCCTAAACCCCCCAAAGAAAAAAAAAATAAGAAATAAATAAACGAATTGACTCCTCGTCTAGGCAGCATATTTCGTCACATTGCCCTGCGTGCAAAATGTCATCTGGATGGGCGACGTGCGCAGGCCACGGGCCACCAGGCGCTCGCGGAACTCGGCAAGGCGAGGCATCGCATCGTACTGCGAGCGGTTCTGCCCGGCGGCGTCTTGGCGGCCTGACCAGAGCACCTCGCCGGCGACGCTGGCGCGAGGCCACACGAGCGTGTCGAGGTTGACGGCGTCGATGGTCTCGGTCCACACGGCCACCTCGCCGCCCAGCACGTTCTGCACCGCGTTCTTAGAGATGCCGGCCAAGGGATCGTGCGCGTAGACGAGCTGCCAGCTCTTGGTGGGACCGCACCAATCGTTGAAGGGGTAGTACTTTTTGAACGTGTCGCCGTTGGCAAAGTTGAGCCACTGGCCGCGGCCGCAGTCGAGGTACTAGAAAGGTGTGAGTTAGTCTCGATACTTGCTCAACACATGAACCTGACACTTACCCAAAACTCGTAGTTGCTGTCAATGACCTTGCGGCCACCCTCGGCCAGGTCCTTGACGGCGGATCCTCCGAGCCACGACTGCACGAGGACGTCACTGCCAATGGTCAAGTTCCACGTCGTCACCATCTCCTCCCATACCAGCGGGGTTAGACCGGCCGTGCGGACCTTTTCGTGGGTGTAGCTGACAAACTTTTGTAGTAGCGGAGACAGAACCTTGGTGTCGTTGGACCTGATATCGGGGTCAAGGTTCGAGTCGTTCTCCTTGAGCTCGTCACCGCCGGTGTGGAAGTAGGCCGTGTAGGGGGCGATGCGGGGGAAGAGGTCACCAAAAAGCGTGTCGAGGAAGCTATAGACGGCAGTGCTGTTCAGGCGGAAGGCGCCGCAGGGAGGCTCGGCGCAGTACTGGTCGTAGGGCTTGGCGTCGTAGGCGACAATGAGGTCCTTGTAGGCTAGCTCGAGGACGCCAATGTGGCCGGGCATGTCAATCTCCAGCACCACCTCGACGCCGCGGGGTATGCCGTACTCGTAGAGGTCCTTGACGTCCTGGGGCGAGTACGAGAGGCCCCTGTGGCAGGCGCCCTTCTCGGCCAGCTCGGGCAGCGCGGGGATCTCCAGGGGCCACGACTGCGAGTCAGTGACGTGCAGGTGCAGGCGGTTCAGCTTGCTCCAGGCCATGGCGTCGATGGTGCGCTTAATATCGTCCACCCCGAGGAACGAGCGGGCGACGTCGAGCAGGACGCCTCGGTGCGGGAACCGCGGCTCGTCCTCGATGGACACGGGGGCATTGGGCGTGTACCAGAAGGTGCCGGCGCTGTGCTTGAAGAGCTGCGAGAAGGACTCGAGCCCGTAGAGCACGCCCGTCGACGACTTAGCCTTGATAGCCACCTTGCCGTCCTCAGAGACAGTCAGCGAATACGACTCGTCGACATCGCCGGCCTTGGGCTTGAAGACGCTGGGCGAGTCCTTATATGTCTGGGTAATCTCGATGGACTTGATCGATGTCTTAGACTTGGCATCGGGCTCAAAGTCGGAGTGGCGCTCGCGGAGCTTCCAGGGCATAAAGTTATCCTAGAAAATGGCCTTAAAGGCGCGTGAGACGCCGGACTAGATAATGTCCTTGCTGCTATAGTTGGCGCCGGCATCGGGAGTTTAGCCATATGTGTAGGAAACCTGCTCGTTGAACAACGTCTTAGTCTTAGCATCGGGCTGCATAGCTTCGTCACGGTCATAGGCATCAGGGGGAGTCCAGCGTATAGCTTGTCCGTTGTAGGTCATAGGGACGGTTTGGTCCATAAAAAGCACTTTCTCTCCCATGGAAATGTTCTGGGGGACGGGCTAGATGGCGTTAGCGGAGGCGAGGACGCATGCGGCCACGGCAAGGACTATCTTAGATAACATAGCGGAGAAGAGATCTCGGGTGGATACTAAGGAGTAATGAGGGCAAAGAGTAAAGCGAAGACTGCTCCTCCGGGTGTAGATAGAGTTCATCTAGATATATTAAGAGAAGGGAAACCAGGTGATAACAAGGAAGCAGATTATATACCTTTGATAATATGCTTATCGGAAACCTCTGCTATGAGCGTCGAGTCCACTTTTGGCTATAGCTCTTCTGTGACCAACTGGAAAAATAGATTGCGTCTATAACCGGATTTCTAGTACCGGCTTCTGCCATATATAAAGGTTTACTATCTCGGTTCTAAAGGCTCTTGCTACTCTGGATGCCTTTAAGTGCTTTGCTAACTTGAGTATCCCTATACTCCCTGAACCGTCGGTCTATATATAAGGCAGATATTTTACTTTCTATAATCATAGTATTACTATTAACTCCTTTTTGGCATATTTGAACCTCCCTAATTATGGACTGTGTAGCTCGACTATTAAAGAAGCTCTAAATCTATCTTTCTTTGACCCTTAAATTAGCCCGAAAACTAGTACCCTGGGTGAAGCAGGGTGAGAATGACCGATATTAGGGTAATTGGAATGCTATCTAGAGTAATAAAGATGCCTTCTTTTGATGCTAGGGGCCCGCTAAATCCGTCGCTCAATTCTGTAACCCTCTAGCACGAGCGGAGAAAAAGATATACTGAAGCAATAGCGGCGCCTGTTAATGTAATATTTGAATTAGCTAATGCCTTTGATTTTTCTATGCTTGGTTGGGTTATATGTATGCCACTCACCGAGTATAAACCACCGCTTAGGATCTATGGCTAGCCTTTCCCTGGTACTCTAGAAGAGAATGAATAGCATAATGCAAAATATGGCGGTGAAGAAAACCTACGTAGCAAGTCTAGCTATCATAAGGTTTACGCCGATGGGTTGATCGGAATAGATGGCGGCTAAGGAACCTCCCACGCTAATGAAAGCAAGACATATGAAGTCTCTAAGAATAAAAATAGTGGAAAAGAGTTTAGGACCGACGGGTAAGAAGTAAGTGGCATTGAAGTATTATTATAAGGCGCTAATCCTAAGATATAGTGAAGACGATAGGAAGGTAGGACTAAGAGTTAGCCCAATGATAAAGCTGAGAATAAGTCAGCCAATAGGCAGATTGCGGTAGATGAGTGAGTGAGTATAAACCCGATGTACGCATTTTTGTTACTTTGGTTATGGGCAAGCTAGACCTTAGCAGCGTAGCCAATAAGTTCCAGGAGCAAACCCCCGATTATGCTAATAGCATAACTATAATATCTCTAGAAATGAAGGACGAGAATATAATATAGAAATAGGAGTATGCAAAAAATGGTTAGAAAGATAGCGTTTGTAGCTAGTATTGGGACGAAGTTGATTGCCCTAATACCGTTAGGGGCAATATGATTGGAGTCGGTAGAATTTATACTGGCTTAAATGTGTGGGCTTGAGGGTTTCTGAACTAGAATTCTGAAATAATGATTTCTTTTGTTCATTTATCTATCCTTATAGCTTGATGGTGGTCACTATGAAGTCCCGTTTACAAGACCCACGCCATGTCCGTCTGAATCGCGCTATCTACCGCTTAATTATATCTATGGTTTATCCGCGTAATTACCGCTTAAATCCCGCGTAAGTCCCGCTTAACCACCGATAAGCTTTTCTACTCGCGCTATTTGCTTCCGCGATAGGGAACATTACAGAATAATCGATAATTAGCCACCCGCCGCCTTATCTGTTCTGAATTATATCGAAATGTAGCTCAAGAGAGGAACTTAGCGTAGGTCGTGCGACTTCTATTTCCGGCGAAAGATCAAATGCGACCGCGTAGTCTAAGTAAGCCAGGGCCACCAAAGCTACTCGCATTATGAGCTACGCTAGGTCCTATGCCGTCTTAATGACTCTAATGACGCTCGCATTTAAAAAAGAAAGCGGCCGCATGATTTTAATTTCAGGGAGTCTTAAGACGCTGCAATTAACTCGTCTCTTATTACTTCCTAGCCTCCACTCTTGCCTTCAACGCAGCACGGCGATAACGCAGCTCCCACTCTAGCATCATTTATTTACTCTATAGCCTCCTTGCCAGGGCCAGTAATAGGCGAAAGCCATTCCAATCAGAGTCCACCTATTAATTTCGAAATCTAGGATTAATTTCTGGGGATTAGCTCAGACAGCACTTCCTTTCTCGACCAAATATTTATTCCGGATTAGTATGATTCGGCAGACTGGGCTGATCAGATGTTGATGTTGAATGATCCCAGCCAAACGCTGGGTGCCAACAATGCTGAAACAGGCAATGAGCCGCGCCGTGACGATGGACTCGAGACCGCTCCGCATTTATCCTCATTAGAAGCACAATGTATCGACTAAACTCTGTTTGATAATGCGTTGCACGCGTATTTTGATATTGCCGCTAGCTCGATGCCTATCCTTTTTGAGGACTCTTTCTGGGAGGATTACCGCTCTGGTCGATGTAGCCGTGCGCTTTCAAGTGCTGTGGCGTGCCGTGGAGTGCCCTTTATTCCGACAGACTTGGATAACTGGGACCTTCAGCAGCGGCTTGCTCGTCAGTTTCAAGACGCTATCTTTGAGACTCACAACAGCCCGAATCATGGAGGGTCAGTCCGGCTAGATGACCTGGAGGCCCTCGCACTTATAGTAGGCTTTGAGTACGATGCCTCATACGGGCAGCCGCTTCAATCACACCTCGCCAAGCTTTTCCTTGGATACGACTCGCTCATCATAATGACTCTGTAGTCCGAAATCCAGTGTCACTATGTCGCTTCATCATCGGAACGGCTAATATTTTCAAAGGCCAACGAGCGCCGGACGCTTCTTTTTTGGCACGTATATAGCCTAGACGCCTTCTATACTCTTAACCGCAAAACTAGTTCACGGATCCGGGATAATAATGCCGAAATCGCCGAAGATTTATCTTTAAATAAAACAGAGGGCTACCTCGATACTATGCTCAGCCTAGTAATAGTTGCTCGCAAAATTGCACAGTCTCTTTGCTATGGTTCTATAAGACGTCTGGGGATTAAGCTTAAAGACTTAGATGGCCTCTATATTGATCTTCAAAACTGGCGGGCTGGTTGTCCAGCGCATCTATAAATCCGGGCCGGTATTAAAGCCGACCCTTTATCCGGGGCATTAGATCCACGTACTAATTTGCGTCGTGCGACTCTTAGATGCCTAGAACTTAACTATTACTTGCAAATAGACGATTATGTCTCTAAGTTTAGTCTTCGGGAATAAAGCATATTGGATAGGGAGATTGCTGCTCTATACATCGAGTCCGAGACTCTCCGTGCAGCCCATGGCGTTGTTGAAATAGCCTAATGGGCAAAATAGACCATGCTTTAAGGGAATTCCGGCATGTCTTACTCTCTGATTAATACCGCACCTCAAATACTACGAAATATATATGCTAGTACCTGTTTTTGGATGTGCCTTCGGGGTTAGGGGCTACCTCGTCTACATTCTCTGTTTCTTAAGCATAGCGCAGACCCAAAATAAAGGGGGGATAATAATCGAGGTGGTTCTTCGGATAATCGATATGTTAAGAACCACCTCGATGTAGCGCAGAGCCTACGAGAAGCCGTGGCGGCGGCGAGTTCCCACTAAGATACTGCTGGGCGGCTTGCGCAGCTTGATGGCTAGATTGAGTTACTTTAGAGCCGTCTCGACTAGAGTTATTGAGTTCTCCTGTTTTAATGTGGTTTCCAGAGAGATTAGCGTATTTGGGCAATTCATGATTAGTCATAGCCTAGATATGTTCATGAGATGGGGGCAACGCATTTACGAGTTTTTATATCTATACCTATTTGTTTTGATTAGCAAGGACCTATTTAATAGTGGGGAGTTTAAAAACGACGTTTAATGATTATTTTAATAATAATGCCCCATATACTGCTCGTACCGTAGCCTGGATGTATTCTTAATTGCGATCTTATACGGCCAATGTTGTATAAACCATTTGATCCTGAGGGCACCGGCTGGGTGGAATTAAGCTATGGCGAATTGTCTAGACCACCTAATTCCCGTCTCCACTTAATTCCCGCTTTCCATCGACCGTCTAACGTCCGCTATCTTTAGCGTTAAGTATCGGACCGCCTAATTACCGCTTCTGGCGATCTTGGCTATGGCGGGCCAGATGCTGCGAGACTAGCCACGCGGGAATACGTCAGATTAGCTTGACCGAAGATGAAATATAAAAATCTATAGGAGAATCGATATTAAACTTACTATTTATCACTCACGGCTTTTTATCTCTCTCAAGGACCTACAAATATTTTTTACCTGCTTTGTTAGAATGAGCCTCTCTTTGCTCGGACCCGTGGTCCCTCCTCTACTTAACCTGGGGTCAGTGGGAATTATGCACCCCGTTCTTGCTAACCTTTCCGATACCTTGAACACGGCATTTCGGGATCATGGTGGTTTTGCCAGTTCGATGAGCGGTGAAGATTTAGTATCTATCACGGTCTTGTCTACTGATGCCGGTAATACTCCCTTGTTCGATTTCTATTACTTGTCTTCTAACCTTAACGAGAGTGCTGGGAGTACTCTTAATGTTACTTAAGACTCGGTGTATCGAATTGGTAGTATTTCGAAGCTCTTTACTGCCTACATGCTTTTGGTCAACTACGGGTGGGAATATTGGGATAAGCTAGTCATAGATTTTATACCTGAATTACGTGGGCATTCTAAGAGTATGAATGATGTAATTGACTCTGTGGACTGGGATGAAGTAACTATTGGCTCCTTGGCATCTTATCTTTCTGGTATTGGGAGAGACTGTAAGTGGCTTACGTCTTGGTTGCCGGAAGTCTAATGAAATGAAGCTAACTTTCTGATAGTTAGTAATGGTGACTTGGCGAGCCAAGACTTCCCCAGGGAAGAGGCTAGTCTGCCAAAGCTTCCGTTAAAGGATATTCCTGATTGTGCGGGAAACTCTACTCTGCCGCCCTACAACCGAAAAGGTAAAACTACTCTTACTATTGCTCTAATTGTTTCGCACGAGCCTAATACTTCACGGGTAGAATACTTCGAGGGCTTTACTCAAAGATATCCCATCTTCGCTACCTATAGCATACCCGTCTACTCGAACGCTACCTACCGCATTCTGGGTTATATACTTGAACGCCTCTCCGGGAAATCGTATCACGATCTACTATAATTATCTATTGTGAAGCCACTGCGTCTCAGTGGTACGGGCACGGAGCGGCTAACGACCCATAATATCCCAGTGATTCCTAATGGCGATAGTGCGTGGTTTTAAGATACCGGCGACGAAGCACCGTAAGTTTACTTTTAGCCCCTCTCGCACTCCTCTGTCCTAGTGGTTCCACTGACACCGCAACTAGAACCGCAGGATTATATTCCTCCTCACTGGATTTGGCTCGTTTTGGCCAAGCAGTCCTGCAGAACCGGCAACTATCTCCGGCCATTACCAGGCGCTGGATGAAGCCTACTTCTCACACCGCGTCACTGAGCTTGTCCGTCGGAAGTCCCTGGGAGATCCACCGAATGAGGAGCAACATAACCAACGGACGTGTCATTAACTTGTATACAAAGTCTAGCTCGCTGGGCAGGTATAATTCGTTGCTGGTGCTTATTCCGGATTTCCAAATCACCTTTTCTATCTTGACGGCTGGCATCACCAGCAGCCCCGCCATAAAGGTAGCCACAGAATTGGTAACATCGTCCCTCCTGCCTGCTCTCGAGAAAATTAGCGGCATCCAAGCCTATGAGAACCTCTGCGGGACATACGCGTCAACCACAAAGCTAGAAAACTCCTCTATTAGTATCACGGCCGACGAGAAAGGGCTTCTAGTTAAAAGCTGGGTCAGTCGAGGCGTCGACATTCAATAAGTAGCATAAGGCATAGTGGAAGATGGAGAATAGCAAGCCATACGACTCTAGGTAACCAATCTCCATACGTCGATATCTTCTCATGGGAAAAAATCCGGTCACGTTTCGTATCGGGCACTCTTTATGACAACTTCCAAAGGCAACAATTTTTACATCTTAGATAATGCCCTAGAGCAATGGTCTAGTGTTGACAGTGTCAACTATGGGAATGTTGCTGCCGATGACTTCGTTTTTAGCCTGAACCATGATAGTAAGGCTATAAATCTGGAAGTGAGGGTTCTAAGGGAGACCTTCAAGAAGCAGAAGTAAATTGGGCGCGATGACGCGGGCTCAGGCAGTGTTTATACCTGACTGTCTACTCTTAGCCTTTGGTTTTTCGTCGGCGGCTAATGGATATGTCTAGGAAGGTCTGGATATCTACCCGCTTCTTTGTGTTGGCGATGTCTTGACTTTTCTATATCTATTCTCTTCTGTTATTTCTTCCGTTTCATTGGTTAGTATTATTAGTATAGAATACGGAAATATAAATCTTTAAATATATTTGCCTTTCCTAGCTACGAATAACCCCGCTCGTGACTTACGTGGATAAGAAGAATATAGACTCTATTTTTCTACTAACAAGGGGTAGGGGGAGAGACTCTGAGAAAGATAGACGTAAAAATCGATAGACTACACATTTTTCATCGGCACGAATCAAGTAGGTCTATTGAATCCCCTAACATTTCGATAAACTATTCCTATTATCTAAGAGGTTGTGATCTGTGATCTGTACAGGAACTAATGCAGCTGTTAGTCGAGCGAAGTCCAAGGCGCAGGCCAAGCATAACGATAGCACTTACTGTTGAGCTGGAGGCATGTCTATTGAGCTGGAGGAATGTCTCCGGCGTGGCTGAATGTTCTTTGTTATCTCAGGTTATGACTGAGCCTAGGTACTCTAGTAGGCAATTGCGACTTAGGTCTTTAAGGCCATAACTAGAATTCCCCGTCTTGTATAGTTTAATTAGGTAGTTAAATGCCTTAATATATAGAAATGTATTCTTTTCTGTCTTAGATCTATGTTGCTGTTGTATCACATAACTTAATGACCTCGAAGGCCATTGGGAATAGAGTGCGGTTAAGCGTTATATTTTCCTATTCTAGGTTAGTAAACTTTTGTGCGATTATTATATTTTCCTAATCGGGTTATCACGCCTTTATACCCCCAAGACCTTAATTTCTTCGAGAGAAGTTAATAGATACTACTAGTAACAAAAAGCAATAATGAAGTTCCGATTTATAGACGAATATGACCCCGCTGCGCTACGTCGACGTCGCCTACAAGCGGAATGTACCTAGAAATGCCGGCAGCGGCAAAGGGCGAAATAAGATATTAAGACCACAAATCATCAGGCTGAGTCGTCTCGAATAGTTGAGTCTGTGGCGGCAATCGAGGTCTATAACTCCGAAAACGCCCTAACAATATTAGGAAAGTGTAACGCTGTACTAGTCTAAAAGAGGAAAGTGTAACGCTTGACCGTGCTCTACTACTAATTTACCTTTAAAGTCTTCTAGTTTAACTATAAGCTGCAATAAGAATATAGATCTAATAAAAAAAAATAATGCGTTTCTATATGATTAAGTATCTAAATACCCAATAAAGCTATACAAGATAAAGGATCTTGGTTGTGGCCCTGAAGACCTAAGTTGCAATTGCCCACTGGAGACCCCGGTGGAAGTGGTGTGTGGTCGAACGGGTCGAACGGGAACGAGTTCGACCACGTTCGATCAAAAGTGAAACCTTAACCTTGAATGGTCGAACAGGTCGAACGAGAGCGCGTTCGACCATGATCGACCAAGCAAATCAGAATAGTATATATAGCTTCGCTCATTCTCACTTCCCTATCTAGATAGCTCTCTAGCTTTCAATACAACTTGATTACTCAAGAATACTTCTTGATATTATCAGACGTGATTCGCCACCCTACGCTCAGTGCGCCACGCCCCGTTGCAACTGCCAACATAAACTAAATCAGGTTACGGTACACTACGTTGGGAACCTTGACCGTCACACTATGCTCCCCCGCCTAGCTATTATGTCAGACAATTGGCTCCACAGGGATTATTGATGGCACTAGTCAATTGATGATAATTATCTGAAGAATAAAAGAAATCGAACAGCCATGTGTTCGGGTACAGCTATTTAAGTTCATGTCGTTGGGATTATGCGACAGGCCAGATGTGAAACCGGATAGTTACATCCGGTCACACGAATGTTATGCGACATATTATTATAGCTATCCCTTGGGCTGCGGAAAACCTCCCGCCAGGTCACGGCAGGGGGGTACGGCCAATTAAAACGCCTCAGATCAACGGTACCTAATCCCCCCCTTATTTTAGCCTGTGATAGAAGTACCAGCAATCTCTCGAGTTACAAATCGCTATATCACACTGCTCATATTATCAAATTGATTAACGGATAAATAGGTCCTGGGGTAGCTCCTTGACGAGAAGGGCTCGTCACGGCACTTCGAAGGGTTGAAAATCGAAGCCTCGGTCTTCGGCAGGCAGAAAAGCCGGTCTCCGGGTGCTATTACCCTCATGCTCTTGAAGGCTATTATCTTCATTGATAAAGCTGCTATCATCATACGCGTTGAGAGCCTCTGCCGAGATCTCTATAGGTACCGATTGGGAAGTCATTGATTAATCCAAAAGAATTTCTATGGGGATGTAGGCGGAATCAATCAATGACGCGTCATAAGGTTCCCCTCATGTACCTCTGAGAAGATGGGGGGATGTGGGGCTCGGTACGGCCGGGAGGTTTTCCACAACTCAAGGGATAATACTTGGCTAGCTTAGACAAACGAGTTAAATACCATACGACCTACTTAGCTGGCTCCCTATGATTAAATTATTAGTTTCCTAGCGCAAATACACTCGAGAGGCCTACTAACTCCCAGAAAGAGAATATTCTTCACCGTTCCTGTCACACTGTTCCTGGCGACATTGTACTTAATAGGCTATGTCAGCGATTCAAATGGCGGGTATAGGTCGCTATATGCGAGATAGACCCAGTCACAGGCTATAGTCCCGGTGAGATGCTGTTCGTCTGCCTAAGGGAGAGAGTGTCTAAGAAGGTGCTCAACTTCATAGACGTCATCAAGAGGACGATCGCCAGTGCCACTATAACTCTCTAATCTGGTACGGCTCTCCTCAGCGTCACGTCGATCCCCCTGTCCGTGAGGGAGAGACGTCAGCACTGCTATCGACGTGGCCATCTCCCCAGACTGCCGGATCCGGGGATCCATCTTCTAGGATCTCTATTGCTTGCATTGGATCCTAGAGAGCCTCCCCTCACCCTGTTATTCAGGCATATTAAAAGTACTGAGCGGCTTGAAATAAGTCTCCGCATTCTAAATGATCTTGAAAAGACTGTGCTATGTCTATTAGACTCAGCTGGTAACTATGTCATCCCGCTCGCCAATAACAACAGTAAGTTGTCGACTACTGTTCTCCGTAATCTCGTTCGTATGGCGATCCAGAAAAGCAACAGCAGCACCTTCATTATCAAAGTCGAATGCCTCAACGGCCTTGTAATTATGCCATGATCCACCAGAGAACTGCGTGTCCCGAAAGAAAAAGTCCAACTTCTTAGGCGTCATGTCTTGCCAAAGGACATATTCCAAGCTGTTTTCATCAGTAGCGACAGCGCTAGCCATGTCATCAGATCGTTTTTGAAGCCATTTCTGGGAGTATTCGTCGTTTGCCGCGCTTCGGTCATGGAACAACAAGATCCGGGTTGTAATACCTTTATCGTTTTTCTTACCCTGACCCCTCGAGAACTTTGCCACTTGCTTCGCAAGACACCCCTGCTGATCAAGCCGGCAAAAGATGTGGGCACCAGCAGTGGCTCGGTAGCCAGGATCCTGAAACCCGGCATAGGTAATGAACAAGCTAGGAAATGTGAGACATGTGACGTAGTTCCACTCCGGCCGCGTTCCGCCTTGCATCGTCCTATTGGTATTCGACAGTTGAATATAATGCTGTAGCGGGGAGCCATGCTCTTTTCCTTGTCTTGTCATGCCACTATGGACGGTCTTGTACTCATGTACGAACTTTTCCATTTCCCATCCATCGGGCTTTGTGACTGAGATGAACCATGTCACCTCGTGGTAGGTATCAAACTTGGTATCAGACGTGGAGGTAAGCGCAAAGTCCGAAAGGCTCACTTGTGTAGCAGTGGCCAAGTCTTTCGAGTTTAGGTCCTCAAAAAACCTCTCTCTTTTGTTGATGTCTTCCGGCTTCTCCGACATCAACCTAAGCAGATTCGCCGTCGTGATAGGATCGATGCATTCACGAAAGATTCTTTGTCTTGTCTCAGCGTAGGATATGAGCACCTCTGTACCGGCACCTTCGTTCAGGACCTGGCGTAAACTACCAGCAAGGTGCGCAGCGTCGAGTAGGCCCGCGGTGAGTGCAAGTCCACCGACAGGGTTATTGAGCTGCCATCCAACATTAGCAAGCCGCAAAAACAACAGCGAGGGGTGCTTGATGCTTGAAATTGCCAACGAGGAAGAGGGCACTCACATGAGCAGCGTCTCCAGCTAACAAGACATTGCCCTTAACAAAGCTAGAGGCACAATGTTGGTGAACAACGTACGGCACCATCGCTTCATACTGAATGCTGCTTGTATCTCCAGGGAGAAGGCGGCACAGTCGATTCTTGACCACCTTGATTGTGGCTTCATCCAGTGTATTCGCCTTGGCAGTGGAAACTTCCGTCCTATGGACTCCAGTTATCATTCGCCAGCTCGTGCCTTGGCCTCGCTTCACAACGAAACCCCAGTCTTCAGGGTCGACAATGAAGTTAGTGGCTTTCCAACCGAGTTCGCCCAGACTATACTGGAAGTTGACGGCAACAAAGAGCCAAGATTCCCAGGTGTACCCCTCGATATCAATGCCCAGGTTGCGCCTGACGGTGCTTCTACCACCATCTGCTCCGACAAGATACTGACACCGGCCTTGGACCTCATGATTGCCAGTGTTGCTTGTGACCCAGTAGTCGACGAATCCATCCTGTTGTTGGAGGCGCTGGATAGTGTGGTTGAAATGGATATGAGCGTTTCCAGTCTTGATGACAGCGTCCAGAATAACTTGGCACAGTTCTGGCTGAGAAAGGTTAACAGCGAAGTAAGGGTTGTCTGGAGGTGGGTCGAGTCCCCCAATGATGTTCCCGTCCTTATCCCTCCAGTCGCATCCACCTTGATTCTTTTCTCCGGTGGCGATGATGGCTTCGAGGATTCCAGCTTTTGAGAATTCTTCAAGAACTGCAGGGAAATGCCTATCCCGGCGATCAGCTGAAAGCGAGCTCGGGGGGTTGCAACCAAGCACTCACTCGACGGCCCCTGGGGATTGATCGATGCCGGCTTCCGACTCATACACAATGACCTTTATGCCTGACTGCGCAACCAGGAGTGCCGTAAAGAGGCCAACAGGACCCGCGCCGATGACGACGACAGGGTCTAACTGGCTAGACTGCGATCGCGACAGGATTAGTCCCAGGTTTCATGACATGTAGTGAAAGCCGAGAACAGCAAGGTGAAACCTACCATATTTTTAGGAGAACTCAAACTCATGAAAAACGACGCCTTGCTCCAGGTGTATAACCGGAAGAGGCAAGAGAAACACTTGGGAAACGATAACCTACATGTAATGTAAGAGGCGGAAGCATGTGGGATATAACCGACGCGGGCTGCCAGGTTGGATTCTTTCATCACGGAGAATAATACATCCAGGAGAGTTAATGGTTGGCGGACCCGGCAGCACGGTGTCCGGCCGTCCCTGTCTAACCCCTCTGCTACCCTGCATGGGTCATCCTGAGTACCTGAAGAAGACCATTTGGACAGATTCGGGTTAACCCACTCTCGGTAGCTTGCAATTGTCCGAGACTCGGCACTTGAGGAACACCGTGGTTTACCGGGCCCACTGCCTCTGTTGCCGCGGCCAGTCGGCACGTGTGATTCCGCGGGGTAACGCTTCTCGGCCCCTTTCCCCGCAAACCAAACTTGGGGGCGGCTAAGAAAGTCGGGAGAGTAAGGAGGGTCTGACCTACAGAAGCCTCACCAATCGAAGGAATTGGACTAGCTAAGTCAACCAGTTGTTCCATCTCGGATCTACGGATTATAGATGTACCGGCAGAGCTTTGCCTGCAACCCCGCAACGCCCTACCCTGGTCTAGTCACCCTGGTTGCGTAACTCCAGCCCCCTTGTTGGCCCATGGACTTTGCGGAGGCCGTTTAGGATACTCTCCCTCTGCCCTCTTTCCCTGCATCTGCTCACCCATTCACCATTACCTTCAGCCTTACTCTACTCACCGATGGAGTGCATCATTACAACTACCGCCCCGGGCGGGACCATCACTCAGCAGCTACACACGGTGCAACATGACGCGGCCCGTACGACTCATTGCGAGACAAGGCAGGGCCGTCGTGCCTGTTTCGAATGCAGACGGCATGTGAACCGCCATTATACATTCCTCTTTTCGTCCTCGTTGCCTCCGACCTTGTTCCCTATCCTTCCTACTTAACCGTTGCTGATCTGGGTCATGACGCTGATACTGACGTGTATTGTTTTTCTGCCTATAGAAAGAAGACAAGATGTTCGTAGCCCTAACCTGTATCTACTGGTTGTCACCCATCAACGGCCGTACTGACCAGCTTTCTCTATTCAGGCGATATGAGACAGCCAACCTGCGGGCTTTGCAGGAGAATTGGAGGATCTTGCACCTTTCCCACCAAGAGAAAGACACCCGAACTGCGCCGCCCGGCAGCTAGCCACCAAAATAAACACCGAATTGACCCACGGGGGCTTCGTAATGTCGATGCGCCCCTGACAGATCCTCGAGCGTCTTCAATATTAATTCTTGAGCCCGAGCGTCTCTTTGACCTGCTCCAGTCACGACTCAGCGACGGACAAGATTCTGACATGCCCATCCAGCAGCTTTCTGAGACGGAGTATTCGACCGACCGTTCAAACAACAATGACTTCCACAAACTGGCCTCACTCCATCATTGGGGGCGAGATCAACAGGCCAAGGACGGGAACAGTGATGAATCCGGGCTCAAGACGAGAACCCCAACCAACGCCTCGGATAACTACAACAACGACGACTGGTCCCTCCCAGGCTCCTCCCTTGACTCCTTGAGAGATTGCGACCGAGATGTGGGTTGTGGGTGGTGGTTGACTGTCCCTGAGCAAGTTCTCACTGACCTTGTTCATCTCTTTTTCGACAAGATCCAAGCCTGGCTTCCACTTCTCCACCGACCGAGGTTCTTTGATCGCTACATGAACAACGGCGTCTTTGCCAAAACTCGCATGCGGCCCATTTCAGACACAGACTCACTACTGCTCTGCGGCATGTTTGCCCTGGCTGCCCGACATTCGTCAAACCCGTGGTTCCAGGACATCCCAGCACCAGACCGCGGACAGCGCTTCGCGGACGATGCTAACAAATACTACGATATGCCTCGTGCGTCCGAGCAAGGGCCAACGCTTGAGCACCTCCAGGGCTGCATCCTGCTGGCTTTCTACGAGTACTCTTCCGGGCCTTCGCACCGCGCCTGGATCCTTGCCGGTGTCTGCGTTCGTCTGGCCTACGATTTGAACTTGTGCAACATGGATGAGCAAGAAGATGACTGCCTCGACTTATGGGACTGGTCGTATAAAGAGGAACAGCGGCGAGCGTTTTGGCTGGTCTGGGAAGTCGATACGTTTGGCTCCGTCATGTCCAGACGCCCAAGTTCTATCAACCGCTCCATGATGGCCGTACGGCTGCCGGTGTGCGATGCGGCCTGGTTCACCGACAACCCAGTAAAGTCTCCAGTCATCGATCCGAGGCCTTCTGAAGCTTGGAAGATTCTAGTCGATTCGCCGAATCAAGATGAGCGAGCGTGGTACCTCGTGGCCAACTTACTCATGATAGTTGCGAGCGAGTTCGCTGCTGGTCGACACACTTGTCGACGCGACAAAGATGAGCTCATTGACGCCATCATATGTTTCTCCATCGCCATATCGCAGAGATTTAACTTGGAGAATCTTGAATTCTCCGGCCCCGACAACGACGCTGCGAGGCAAAATTGGGTGATTGGCATGCACCTGATGCTTATGTGTGCCCGCGTTACCATACGGGCGAGTTTTGTAGCACCACGTCCAAGGGCGCTCAGCTTTTCGCAACATATGTCTCGTATCCTGTACCAATGGCGACCTGAGTACATCAGGTTGAGCCAACCGTTCCTTGCATGCTGCCTGCTATCAGATCGGGCGTACCCCTCCGAAGAGACGGTGCAGGCTCTAGATGTACCCTACCACAGCATCGAGATGGTGAATCTGGTATTGTCTCAATATGCCTCGGTCTGGAAGCTTGCGGCCGTTTTGTTAGGTGAGTTGGCTTCACCCACCTTCTTGACTGGTTATACTGAGACGTACAATTCGTAGACTTGAGGACATCTTTGATCCGTCGCAACCGACTCTCAGCAGATGCCTTGCTTGAACGGCGTTTTGCTCTGTACTTCCCTCATCGTGCCTCCCCCGGGCGCTCCAAAGACCATGAGGATGACCAGGCTAGCTTGATGATAGGGACTACTGGTGAGGAAACGAGAGACGACAATAGGGCCGACGAAGAGGACGGCCCCGACCCTGTGCTAGGGTTGCAGCAGATTTCCCAACTTCCCAGGGAACTAGAGGATGCAGAAGCGCAGATGATTGAGCTCCCCAATATGCCTGACCGAGAGTTAACCGAGTTTCCGCACTTGGATAGCCGAAATGATTGGAGTTCCCGGCTCCCGCTGGATTATGTCAGTGACGAGAACATGCAGCTCGACTACCTACAGTTGTAAGAGTTGATTGAGCCCAAGTCAAGGCTGAGACAAACTACTCGAGCCACAATGCACCTACATTAACGATGGGAAGAAGCTATAGAGACAATGGGGAATTTTATCAGAAGACTGCAGTTTCTGTCAATGCTTGGATCTATACCTAATATCTGGCTAGGGTGTTGAGTTGGGTACTAGGTTATGTCTTGCGACCCTTATGTCGATAAGCATTTCAATCATGAGGCGCACTGAGAATTTCCTGACGTTATGTTGGTCTCGATGGATCAATGATGATGCTGAACCCCAAGCTATAGTAAAAGCTGCTCAACAGATCCTCGCGCAACCGAGAAGCCTCGTGGATTCAAACGCGAGCTAGAGTCGGGAGTTTTCCTCGTGACTCACTTCTGCCTCTTTGTGACCCTGCTTCTCGAGAGACTCCTGCATACCGGGCGACGAACCCACATTACCTTCCAAACCGACCAATCCAGCATCAACAGGTGCGTCAATGCGCGTATCAAACTCGTCTCTCTGTTCTTTGATGAAACAAGCAGCTGTTGCCGATAAGAAGCCACTTCAACACGGACGGGGTGGGAAATAAGACTCACTTATGACCAAGAGGCCACAAAACGAGGCCGAAACGATCCAGGCGTTCCTGAAAGCGACCAAGTATGCTCTTTTCATTGCTCCAATTGCAGCCTGGGCAATTTCGGGTGAGATACCGGGAACAGCAGCGACAGCGTCCTTCCTTTGTGAAGCAAGGCCGTCGATCAGCGCAGGCAGAGATGATGGAGGCAGTCCTAGTGGAAGCGCTGCTGCGCTGACCTTCTTGGGCAGTTCCTTTTCCAGGGTGCTGGTGAGAACTGCGTTGTTGATAGCCAAGCCAACTGCGCCCCCTAAGCTCCTGGCTGTGGTTATCAACCCCGATACCAGAGTGATTAGCTCTGGGGATGTCGCCAACTGAGCTGAGACCATGGACAGTGGCACGATAGAGACGAGGCCAATGCCAGAAATAACCGGGAATATCCAGAAGGCGTAGCGAGGAGTGTCTATGTTCACAGTGGCTAGTAGAATGAAGAACACTAGGAGACAGACACAACCCACGATGAGCGGAGCCCGCATGGACTTGCGCTTCGAAGACCACAGTCCAAACACAGGGGAGAAGACAAAACCTGTCAAAAACATGATGTTAAAGTTTGCACCAGCCGAGAGAACGCTGGCATCGTATATGAGAGAAACTTCAAAGGCAAAGTAGGAGTTGGCCGCAAAGAATGACAGTCCTTCGATGAAAATGACAAACAAGGAGACGGCAAAGTTTCTATGATGCCAGAGATCATGGTGAAGTATGCCGTCCTTTTTGAAACGCCACTCATAAACGACGAAGAGAATAATGGCCATGACGCCGATGATGAATGGGCCAAGAATATTGGCACTGTCCCAAGAATATGGATTGTCAGACCATGCAAGGGCCATGGAGAAAAGGGTGAGCCCAGGTGCGAAGAGGAAATATCCTATCCAGTCGAGACGATTGAGCTTTTCAGACAAGTTGAGCGATAGTTGTAGTTCTCGTGGGGGAGGGTTGTAACCTAGCTGACAACCTATGGCTGCGATAGCGTAGAGACCGGCCTCGATGTACCAATAGATGCGATAGTTTGAGAGATTTCCATGTTGGAGCAGTCCCCCACCCATCAAGAGCCCAATGGTTGCTCCCAGACTGGCCGCCAGGCTGGCGGATGCTTGGCCCATGGGCCTGTAGCGTCGGGGCAATACTTCGGACAAGACGGCTAGGAGGGCTGACTGGCATCCGAAATTGAGGCCCAGGATGGCAAAGCCGGCGATAAGGGTGCCAGAGTTCTGGGCTCTGGACACAATGATGGACCCGGCCACTCCAGCAAGAGACAACAAGACGAGGATAGGTTTACGACCGTAGTAGTCGGCTACCTGGCTGATGGGAGGATTCAAGGCGACTGTCATGATGGTAATACAGGACGAGTACCAGACCGTATTCCCTGTACCGCCGACAGCTTGGGACATTGACTGTGCCAAGAACCCCGACCCGATAACGGAGCTGAGCTGTGCCAAATAGATGAGGTTGATGGACTAGGTGGTGGCCTGGTGAGTGTCTGGGATTGACCACTGTGAACAGAGAGTAGACTTACCACAAGACAGATTATTGTCTTGGAGCCAATACGGGTTGTCGGGTCTCCCGGCGCCCATGGTGCAGGAGAAGAAGAGTGTGAAGCCATAGTGGGCGGATCAGAAGTTTATCGTGTGTTGGCACAAATGTTACGAAAAGATCTTGGTTTGACGCTTGGGCAAAAGGGGGGGCTGTGAACCCTGAGCGTGATTATATGTCTGTTTGATAGCGGGCAAAACCACAGATAAAGGGGAGCCGCCCTTAATTGCCGACCACCAGTAAGCTAGAGCTCCTATAGTGCAGCATTCAAGATTGAAGAGGCTTGGCTGAAGGGTGACAAAGAGAGCAAAAGGTGTAGATTGCTTGCACCCACCGAGGCTTACGATGGCGTTTCACCCCTGCTTGACCCCAGTTTCCCCGCGCCTCTAGACCCGTCATTGTCCTTTGCAGGCTGTGGGGTAGCGCTGCACGGTGACCGGGCTTGGGTTCCACCTCCGGAGTCGTATTGGTTTAGTTTGGGCAATTAGTGTGGCCCGGTCTTTCCAGCAATGCCGTTCTGCCGTCCTTCACAGACCTCTCATTCGCCAGCAGACTTTCTCGAGTCAGAGGAAGAGCATCCCTACCAGGGTTAACCTCGGTAACCAGGCGGCAGAGTCGCCAGTCCCCAGCTACAGAGTAGACCCCCTCTCCGACATATCAAGTCCAAATGATCCAGCGGGGTTCTAGAATCGATGTATTTGTTTAGATTAGTCTTATTAGTTTGTCCATCATACCACTATCAAGCGTTAACTGGCCCTCACAACTTGGTGAGGACGAGCTAACGACAGCACCTCAACTCCAAATTGGCATCTTACCCTTCGTCGTCACCGAGAATTAGCAGCTATGGCACTTGATTCTGAAATCATTGAGAGTTCTCGGCCCGACCCAGAGTTTGAGCAGGTATGCTGCTCCTACCTGATTAACCCATGTCCGTGTGAGTCAATAGCCAACTGATCTTTTCAAATTTCAGCTCGTCAAGAATGCGGGCCCTCCACCGCTACCCAGCAATGCCAGCATACAAACGCTTCGAAGTTTAACAAACGGAATCAAAACCAAGGCACGCGAAGCACTTGGTGACCCTCCTACCGGGTTGATGGAGCGAGACATTGAAATAGCCGTTCGCGACGGCAGCAACATCCTCGCCTACGTGTATGCTCCTTCAAAAGAAACGTCAACAGATGCTTTGCCAATCCTGCTCTTCTTCCACGGAGGCGGATTCTGCATCGGCTCGCGCCACGACGACTTGGAGTCTAACAGAACCATCGCCTCCAAGGCTGGCATAATCGTTGTCAGCGTTGAATACCGCCTGGCTCCAGAGCATCCTTTCCCTCAGGCTATTCATGACGGATTCGATGCATTACATTGGGTATGTAGCAATGAATTTAATCACACAATTACAGGGCCCCTTTGTGGATATCAGCTCACGAGCAATGCCGCTGACAATTCTCTCCGTAGATTGCCAATAATCCAAGTCGCGTACACCCATCTGCATCCCCATCGGCAGGTCTCATTGTTAGCGGGACTTCTGCAGGTGGGAGTATTGCGAATGCTGTTGTGTATTTGAACCGCGATCTAGGGTCTCCCGTCAAGGTGACAGGCCAACTTTTGAGTGTTGCACCTCTTCTTCCACCTCCTGTGGTTCCGAAGAGATACCAAGACGACTATGTCAGTCACGAACAGAACAGGGATGTGGCTATACCCTCAGAAGAGCTGGCCCGGTCATTCATTGGTGAGACTATTCACCACGTCTTTGTACCCATTCTATGGCTAACCAGGGCCGCCTACTCCATCCATAGCTGCTTACAAGCCAGACAAGACCTCGCCACTCTCAGTGCCCGCGATTCACCCGTTAGGTCACGCCGGAATACCTCCCACTTATTTGCAAGTCTGCGGTCTTGATGGTTTACGTGATGAAAGCCTCATCTATGAACGGATGCTCCGGCAAGAGAATGGCATTGCCACGCGCGTAGACCTCTATCCAGGATTGCCTCATCACTTTTGGGAGTTTTTTCCTCAGTTGGCGAAGCAAATCGAGAAAAGAACAGATGATACTGTTGAGGGAATTCGGTGGTTATTAGGAACTACTCAGGCATAGGATAGTTTTGGCACACAGGCAGGAGCCGCGCCTACTTGAATTTTATCGGTACAAGAATTATACACCCCTCACCCAACGGTCAAGCATGGTGAATGATGAATCGCACAAGTTACCTTCATAGCTACTGGGCAACAAGAGCCTGGGCCATGAATCAAGCTATCCTCCCTCGAACCGATCTGTGAGCGAAGCCACCTTGGTTAATGCTAGCCCTAGATACCTTTGGTTTCTAGCACTAGATTTCGGCTACGTGATATTACATTTGTGTACAAACCCTTGAGCTAGCTGAAATGTAAGTGCAACCTACTAGATGGACCGCAACACATATCGTTTACCGTGGTTACCGGTACATTAGGATAGGCCGGCGCCGGCGAACCTGGTATCAAAACAGAAGCCGACCCGTCGGGTGTGGGAGGTTCCAAGCTTAGTCACGAAAACAGCCAATTAATCCTCTGAAAACGGGAATGTGTGCCGCCGCGAGCATTGTTGGGTGGAGACGGCTTTTGCCAAGGCCGGCATTTGTCAAGGCCGGCTTTCGTCGATGGCCGGCTTGACCGCCAACCCCGTTCTGCGCCGGGTGAGCTCACGGCGAAGCATTACAGCGTAGGGCGTGTGTGCGCAAAACCTATCATAAGTTCAAAAGCCGTAGACTTTTCTGCTCATGGTTTCCTTTCCAGCTCATTCATCACCACAGGCTGACAGCATGACCGACTCAACAATGGCCCCCGAAAATGTCATCGTCATTGGTGCCGGCCCTGTCGGTCTCTTTTCCGCACTGCTCCTTGCACAAAAGGGTATCAAGGTGACTGTGTTTGACGCGGACGAGGGTATTTGTCGCAGTCCGAGGGCTGTCGTGTGAGTAATGTCTTGGTGTTTGTTTGTTCATACCTTCTGCTGACACGTGTTCATTACCCAGACAACTCCCTGCGGCAAACCTCGAGTTCGCCAAGGCCGGAATACTTCAAGATGTTCTTGATGTTGGCCATAGGTCCGACGATGGAGTCTGTTGGCGAGATGGCAATGACACGACCAAGATCCTGGCGGATCTGACTCCGCCGCCGTCGGAGAATCCAAACATCTGTGCTGCGATGCTGGGGCAACATGAGCTGTGCCAAATCTTCCTGAAGCACTTGCACAACACCGGGAATGGAAATGTCATCTTTAACCATGCCTTCCTCCGTGCCGAGGACCATGGCGCCTCAGTTGAAGTTCACGTTAAGCGCGCGCTGGACGACCAAGAGTTGACTTTGAAGTGTCGATATCTGATTGGTGCTGACGGCAGTCGAAGTTCAGTCAGAAAGCACTTGAACCTGCCACTAGAGGGATACACTTGGCAGGGAATTCGACTTGTTGCTGTAAACATCCTGTATGACCTCGACAAATATGGGTGGAAAAGTGGCAACTTTATTGCTCATCCAACCGACTGGGCCATTGTTGTCAGACGCGGAAAAGGGCCACAGTGGAGGATTGCTACCAGCATGCGATTTTTCGAAGGCCCGGATGGAGAGCCCCTCAACGATAAGACTATTTTTCCTGCCGTCAAGGAGAGAGTCGCAAGACTGTTGCCCGGCAATACGGATGAAGTGGTCTACACGCAAGCCGCCCCATACGCTATCCACCAGCGGTGCGTACCTCAATATCGGGTCAAGAACATTTTACTTGCTGGAGATGCTGCTCATGTAAGCCCCTGGAACCCTTCACTCTATTTGGTCATTTACTGAAAACCACTCTTGCAGTTAAACAATCCTGTTGGCGGGTTAGGGCTGACGACTGGTGTATTGGATGCCGCGCATCTGGCTGAAGCACTACGCCAAGTGCTGATCGACAAAGCACCCGACGCTGTCCTTGAAGAGTACGCTAAAAGGAGGCGGGATGTTTTCACCAAGGTAACGGATTCTTTGTCGACTGCAAACCTCCTAAGGTTGAGCTCGTTGGCTGCTGCGGATGTTGCGGAGCGGGAGAATTTCTTTAAAGCCTTAAATGACCCAACTAGCATTAAGGGCATCTTAGGGGTTCTTTCAAAGGAGATGGGGCTATCTACAACCTTAGATTTAACAGAACTTATGCCTGCAGCACAGTTATAAAATGCTAGATACTTCTTAATAAAAGAATTTTATATTAAATTAAGTTTAGTAATTACATAGTAGCACTAGGTCTTAGTAAGATAAAGGTAAGAATGAGAGTTATCTATATATATATATATATATTAGGCTTTAAAGCTCTTTAAGTATAGCTTACTAAGTATACTATACTTATATATAATAAATTTAATAAGTATACTACTTAAGTAAATAACATATATAATAAGCATATATACTAGACAAGGGTACGCACTACTTGGATTTTATACTATAAATTTAAGTTTTAAAAAAATTCTTAAAAATTTAAATTTAGCTTTAAATTAATAAAAACTTATAATTATATTAATTATATAGAGATATTTAATATATAAACTTCTAAAGCTTTATATATTTTTACTTTTTAAGTTATTAAGAAAAAGTTTATTAATACTATATACCTTACTATATCTAGCTTAATAATTTAAATTAAAAATATATTAAAATATAAATTAATATAAATTAAGTATACTAAACTTAATTATTATAACCTTTTAAGTCTATAAACTCTAGAGCTAGATTTTAGTTATCTAGGGTAGGTTATTTTTTAGCTACATAGTATAGTAGTACATATACTTGTTTAGTGCATATGCTTATTATATATATTATATTATATATATTTTTAGCAATTAATAGGGGGGCATGACGAATTAATACGCGGGCATAACCCTTAGGGGGGCATGACTTTTTATAACACCTAATTAGGCTGAATTTCATAGACCTATAAATACCTTTGAGAAAAGGCAGTAAAGCCGGCTCTCTTAATAAGCCTAGATCTCTGTAGAAGCAACTAGACTAAGCCAGCCTATTAGAATAATTCGCATTCGGCTATTAAAATAAAGTATTATTTTTAATACCTATAGAATAAGGCTAATTCTATTAAGAGTAGCTATCTATATCTCCTCTTATTACTATAGAAGGAAGAATCTCCTCGTCGCTATTAAGTAGCTCTTATTAATTCCTTCGTTTCTAAATGCTAGGTTATATCTTCCGTCTACTAGCACGTCCTCCTATAGTTCTCCCCGCTCTAAGGATACCTAGCTAGCTATGTGTCTAGCGCTGATTTAAGCTATTAGCCTAGCTATTAGCATATTAGCTCGCATCGAGTTCCACTCTGGCTAGAGTCGACCTATTTAGACTACCCGGTGGTTAACCTCGCCTATGCCTTAATGGGCCCTAGCTAGCTAGTTAACTACTCTGCCGATTACTTATTCTGATAGTAAGCCTTATTAGAATAGCCTATGTGGTGTTTTTAGGCCTACCACGGAGAGCAATAGTAATCTTAGGGTCGAGAATCTATTAGTATAGATCTTAAGAGGATAGCTCTTATAGTCGCCACCGTAGATAGACCTCCTACTTAGTAAAGGATATAATAGACCCTAACTTTAAGTAGACCTTATAGTAATAAGATATATTAAGCTCGATAGAGACTAAATAGTTATTATTATAGCCCCTAAGAGGCTCTAAGAATAGATTTTTATTAATTAATATTACTTTGCGAGCTAAGTAATATTACTTATTAATTAGCTTAAGGCCCTTTAATAATATTATTATTTAGAGTTTACTTAGATACTTTAAGCTAAACCTTATATACTCGCGAGTAATAAATACCTTATTTATTATATAGGTATTATTAAAATCTTACTCTTAGTCTTTTATTATATCTTATATAGCTTTAATAAGTTAATATAAGTAGCTTATATTATTTAAAAAGTAGGTCTTAATATTATTATTATTTATTTCTATATTAGAGGTAATATAAATATTAAAATTATAATACTTATAGATAAAATAATATACCTATTAAGCCCTTATAGGTATATAAGTTTTATAGAGATATTATAAAATAGCCTATTAATTATTAAATTCCTTATAAAGGTTTTTTTATACCTTTTTATAAATATCTTTAATCTTAGTAAATAAGATAAGCTTTTATATTATAAGAACCCCTTAATAGCTATAAAGGATATCTTTAAATATTAGCGCATAGATTAATTATTAGTCTTTAAGGCTAAGCTTAGCCTATGCCTATAATGTAAACTTATTCTTATTATTATTATTAAGATTATTATTATTATTAGAGCCCTTAATTTACATTATTTTAATTTATATAAGATATTTAAATTAATATAATAGATATAAAGCTATTATTATATATTAGGGAATTAATTATTTAGGCGGCTTTTATTTAATTATTAAAGTTAATAATAATAATATCTAATTAATAAATAAAATATTATTTTATTAATTATTAAATACTCTTAGAGAAGAATTAAAATCCCTTTTATCTCTTATTATTAATTAAACTAAAAGCTATATTAAAGATAAAACTAAGGCAAGTTTATCCTATTACTTAGAATAATAAAAGCTTAGAGTAGTTAATATTATATATATTATTAAAGCTAATAACCTTAGGAAATTATTTTTATATTTAAAGATAATAGGAAAAAGTCTAGATAAGGCTAATAAGGTAGCTTAGCTTATTATTTACTTACTTAATAATATAAAAAATATCTATTTTATTAAAGAGCTTAATTAATATTATAATAAGAATATAGCTATTTAATTTATCTTAATTAATAAGAGCCTAGGTATTATAGATATCTCTTTATATAAAAGTTAATTTAGGGTATTACTCTTAGATTATAGCCTATATATCACGGGCCTAGATACTAACTTAATAGCTTATTAACTTAATAATTACCTTAATAGGTATAATTAGCTATCTATAAAAAGGGTATATAAATAATCTAATACTATGCCTATAATTATATTAATTATATTCTAGGTTTAGGTATTATTATAAGACCTACTTGCCCTCTTTTAGAGCCTCGGCTATTACTATTTACTTATATCTATACTTCTAGGACTTTTATTATTAAAGACTTATACCTCTACTAGGCTATAGTTCTCTATATCTATTATATTAGAAAGAATATCTTATCCTCTAAGTATTAGATAAGTAGGTATTCTATCGGATAATACTAAAGTTATTCTCTTTCGCAAAGGTATTTATTAAGTTAAATAGAGCTTCGGCTAATAGCGCTAAGTCGCCTAGGATTAATAGGTTTAAGATCGGGTTAGGGGCAGGGGATAAGGAAATCTAAAGAGGGGAAAATTTAATCTTTTAAGGAGATATTACTTAGGTAGATAGCTCTCGGGGCAGTAAGTAGGGAGGAGGTAATTTAAGCGTATTTAAACTAAGAAATAAGTAACCCTATTTCTCTTATTATTAATATACTCGCTTATATAACTAAGCGAGCTCGAGGGTAAGCTTCTAATTTATCCTAATTACTTCTCGTATTAGCTTTAGGGCAAATTAAACTCGGCCTTTATAGGTAATAATTACTCCTATACTAATTAAGGCAGAGAGGAGGAAGGTAATAGGTTGATTTCTAGGCCGAGTATAAGGATTCTAACTTATTACTATTATCTTCCTTAGGTTAAGAAATTATTTAAAAGGTATATCTTATAATTAAAATAAAGCTCTTATAGTAGCTTATAAAGCCCTTGCGATCTATAGGGCTATAAAGCGGTTAAAAAGGTTTATAGATAAGATATAAAGAGATTTCTAAGTATATCTTTATCGCTAACTCTATAATATTAGCTAATATTTATTTTAATACTATTTACTAAGCGAGGTTTATTCGCGAGTAATAGCGGGCTAAACCTAGATTACTAGCTCTACCGCTATTATTTTTAGGCATATAATTAATCGCTAGGACTAGGACTATAAGTATGGCATCTTAGATTGCTCTCTAAGCTAGAAGGAGGCTTAGATTAGGATATAGTAAAGGTTCTAATTATCGAGGATTAAGAGACTTAGGAATAAATAGCTTACTAATAGAGAGAAAACTTAATAATATCGTATTAATTACTAAGGTAAGATTAAGATAGAGCTAAGCTCGAGGTATTAGATATAAGGGTAATAAGTTAAGATAAATAATAATTTTAAGATAAAAAAGAATAGATTATTAATTACTTTATCCCTATCCCCTTGTCTTCTTTATCCTTATTATATTTAACGAGGAGAGGCTATGATACTAGACCTATCGAACCTGTAATAAATCTATAATACCCCTCTGACTCTTATAGTGTACGTATATAATAATCTGGGTAGAGGCATATATAACACGAGGTACTTAGGAAGCTCTAATAGAATTCTACTAATACTAATAAAAATAAAATTAATAAATTAGGTATTATAAAAAGTTATGCCCCCCTAAGGGTTATGCCCGCTTATTAATTTATTATACCCCCCTATTAATTGCTATATTTTTACCTATAAGTATATAATTTAAAAAAATCTCAAAGATTTAAATTAAGCTTAAAATAGCTAAAGTTACTACATTTAATAAATTAATATATATAATAAGCTATTAAAGAAGTAGTATATATAATAATATTATATAGGTAGTTACCTTAAGGGAAGATATTACCTTATAATACCTTAATTATTAGAATAGTATTATAGATTTATTATAGAATTAATAAATCTAATATCTTAGCTTTACCCCCTTAGATATAAAGATAATAAGGGAGAATAAAGAACTAAGAAGATAAATATAATAAATCTTATTAATATACTTAAGATTATCCTAATATTATCTTTTATAATTAGTAACCTATTAAGGGCGCGCTATCTAATAGTAGGAAGATTAACTAAGATAC